CCCCCAAAACCCCAAAACCCCAAAACCCCAGGCTTCAAAATAGATTGTTGTTGAGGAGTGAGTAATTTTCTAAAAAACATGAAATATATTTATAAGAATTCACTAGCCAGTAAAATGACCTAACCCTCCAGCACCTCCATTACCGTACAACTAATTAAGCTGATTAGGGTCGAATGTTTGCTGAGGAAAACCGTACTACTATTGGAATGGATACTGAGCTTACTATTGCTTTTGCTATTGCAATATGAAGTTTTGCTAATGAGGAGAAGGAGAGTGAAGCTGAGGCATAAAGTTATTCGGTGCTGAATGTGATGGTTAAGGCATATACAAGCTATTAGCTTGATAGTGAAGTCCATTTACAGCTTATTGATAGTACATTGATTGAGTTTAATGGTCCATGCCTGGTTAACCTCCCATCATGTTTCCTTGAGGGATGAATTTCTATCCCATTGGAGGAGGTGAGGTCATTCCCATTCTTTAAAAAGGCATGCTTTGAGTTTACAAAACAGCTTTATCGTTAATTGTACTGCCAGGTCTACTTATGAAAACTTGCTACTAGGGTTGTGTTTGCTAAAGAACCTATTGAGGCAAGCCTTGGGGAACAAAACTAGCATTTTGGATTTTGAAATTCATATTATTCATAGCCCCAATGTCTTGAACTGGAGTCTTGTTTCTGAAGTTTTCTAAACTGGAAAGATCGCTGGTTTTAGAGTAAGCACTGAATGTATCAATAGTTTGTTGCTGAGAAATAAATGCATTGTTTTCATTGAGATTTTGGGCATCGTTTTCGCTGCTGAATATGGCGTCATTGAAACTCCTGAGACATTTCTTTGAAGATTCATCCAATGAATCTAAAAGTCTTGATTCTTTCACAATTAGCGGAATGTTTTGCTTTAGAGCAATTCTTGCCCGGGGGTTCTCAGCAAGTCTGTTGTAACATCTGATGATATGCTTCAACAATCTCGATGATGACTTCTCAGTCTGACCTTGCACCATGTTGTTGAGAACTGTACTCACTGCAAAGAATCTTTCAGCAGTTTAGCATAGGTAATTCAATCCTTGTTCATCTAATAGTATCTTTTAAATGATGAAGGTTGCAACAGTCTGTGACAACTCAGTGCCCCTTTCCATAATTCTAAGACAGAGAGGTATAATTTCTGTCTGAAGGAGGAAACTTATGACATCAGAATCATCCATTTTTACCAAAGCACCAATAACACCAAGTGATGTTAACCTTAAGTATTCAAAGGGTCTCCCCTTGCTCACAGTGTTAAGGAAAGGATATAGGAACAAGGGAATGTGAGCTTTAAGGAAGAGTTATCTAGTTTCTTTGTGAGAAGCGACGCATTGAAGAAGAGCTAAGACATTGCACGCTTTATTTGACGTTCTTGTATCTAAGTTTGGGGGAGATAATTATGGATACACCGCCACGATTTCCTAGAGCAAAGCAGCTATGGTTCCAACTGAATGCCAGATAAAAGGAGCTAATTCAGCGAAATGTTCTCTTTGCCTGCTCAACTCAATCAAAGCATTGTCTCTTTTGTCAGCGTATTTTAGTTCGTCAATGTACTTAATGATTGATTGCTTTTCTTCTTCACTGAAATTAGCTGTAGATAATGCATTTGATTAACTCTGTCCCATCCTATTCATCAAACCATCATTAATCGAATTAGCTTACTTAACTGAGCCTTCACCAGTATCTGAGTAGTCATCTTACTATTTTTAGAGAGATATGTTTTACTTTTCCTGGTTTTTGAGACTCATTTTTATAAGATGCTATTAGATTTGAATCAAATTAATTATAACTTAATTAATTTCAAATATGAATTAAATGAAAAAAATTTAACTACTACTATTACTCTCTCTAGGGCTCCTTAATATCATTCATCATGTGAGTGCCAAGGGAAAAACCTATGAAGATGTTGCCAAGCTGATGCAGGAAAATCATTAGCTACATCTTAAGGACGATGATGAATCAGCAGTCATAGTAGATAAGAAACCCTAAAGTGCCGATAATAATCAAAATAAAAACCCAAATACCCCAGCTTCTCAGCCAAATAACAAATAAAATTAACAGACTTAATAAACTAACAATAACAAACTATCGAATCCTCCAACATATTCAACTCATGACATTATGCATACCAATAGTGTCCCCTTAAACTAGGTTTTCTAACCCCCTCAATAAGAGACTAAGAATGAATATAAAAGAGAAGATGTCGATGATCCACAGTCTTTAGGTCATACTAAATTCCATATTCATGGACCAGCAAATGAAAAAGCTGAGAAAGAGAGAGCAAAATAGGTAGTTAGTGATTTTGAGAAGAAAAAGAAGACCAACCCAGATAGCAGAGTACAGATGAAGGGAGTTAACTTCCAAAAAACTGGGGATTAAAAGGATAAATTTTATTTCTTACTTACAACCGTAGTGTTAACCTTGACAAGTCTTTTGATAGTTGGTGCCTGCTTTGGTTCCATTTACTTCTTCTATAAACTTACCTTTGGAAACAGAGAAAGATACTTCTAATTTGATGAGAACAATAACGATATTGAAAAGGCTGAAAGAAAGGGCACTAATCTTTCTAAGATAGATGAGGACCCACTTGAAGAATTTGACACTTCTATTGTTAAAGCAGCCAAACTGGGAGCAACTGAGGTTAGCAATAGATCCAGCATTACCCGCCCAACTTAGGGATAAGGTAAGACATTATGATCCTCTACTTTGAAATAACCAATATAATTATAGCTGACTCTTTAAAGAAAGTAAATGAAGATTATTCTAGGTCATCTACTAAGGATTCTCGTATCTAGTGAAAAGAATAAATTAAATGCATTTAATTTTTCCATTTATGACGCGAAATTAGCATGATGGGGTTTTGGGGTTTTGGGGTTTTGGGGTTTTGGGG